TATTTTGGTTTTTTTATTATGAATTTTTTTAGCCGTTTGTTTTTTTTAATAAAAATTAATTAAATAAATATAAATTTATTCATATAAAAATTAAAAGTAAATTTATCATGAAATACAAAATTTTATAACAGCTAGTAAATTTAGAAGATCAGCGGAATTATAAATCTGTGGGATGTCAAAAAAGAAATTGAGTTTCAAATGGAACATAAAGTTGTTCATGAATCCAAATACGAATCGTATGTTTGACACACAGTAACAGTAACAATGTTCAGACAATGCAACCTTGCGATTGAGTCGGAAAATCGTATTGTATACGATACCTAATCGAAATTCATGTCAAAGAATTAGTGGCTAATGTTTGGAAGTGGCCTAAAATGTTATATTTAAGAAACCACGTATGGTAGTGGTTATGCCAATGGCCGCGTTATCTATTTCCTTTCTAATTTTATAATGTCTGTAAATGGTTTCAAATTCAAATTCATCTTTATTCAGATAAACTTGTTTACAAGCACTTAAAATCGTAATTTTTTTTATGAATGCAAAAATCTTTAATATTTTTAAAGTATTAGATAAAAGTCTCGTGCTACTGTATATTGTAGATGTACAGAAATCGTATTGTCGGCTTATTGGTTCAAAGTTGATAGATATGAGGTGTAGTACAAATATCAAAAACTATAAAAATAGAATTCTTTATATATTTTACGTATGTACGTACGTTAAGAGCCTTAAATGAAAATCAATCTGACAATATTTTAATACATTTCCTTTAAATCTACCTCTGTGTGGGACACAACTGTGTTCTGGCAGCGGTATCATACGGGACTATACAAACCAAGGTAATGACGTTAAATGATACAATGTTGCAAATCCAGTTGGACACAAATTGGCAGCTCTCTTGCTAACTAGTACGCTTTTACGGTATTAGTAGCTATTACTTGTACTAGAAAGCAATTCGTAACATTGAAAGGTCATTTGTATTGACTAACGAAGGAAGACAAAAACGTATACACGACAATAGCATAATACATGCGTATAAGTAAATTTTTATTAGGTCTTTTTTGTAGATATTTATTCCAGATTCGTTATGTAGTTTTACATAGTAAGGATGAACTAAAAGCTAATTTGAGATTTAGATAATTGATGTAATGATATGACACTTATATTTTTATACTAGTTAATTTCCACTATCATTATCTTACAGCACCAATTTTCAAGTTGCTAAAATCTCAGCTTTTTAAAATACAATATTTTTGCTATTATATTTTTTCCCCCAGTTACTTTAGCTTTATTGATATATGTATTAAATTATAAGGGTATTTGTCATTTCGGTAGCTGTTGTGATGTTATTCAAAACAAGACTAAGTAATTCAACAAATTGTATGTTTGGGTAATTTCGTTTTCGATGGAAACCCAAATAAAAAGAATTACTTTATTGTGTACCGCTGGATACAACAGAAAATAATAAATCTTTTTAAACGTTTGCTTCCTGCGCCTTATTGTTGTACCAATGAAAATAGTTAAATAGATTTCACAAATTTTATACTTTATTACCACAGAGTAAGGCTAGTGCTACTTTTATTGTTAATCTCTCAACATATAAAATGTATCCCACTACTACATAAAATAAATATTAAAGTTTTATTTTTATATAAATACATACATCTATATAATTAATATGTAATAAATAAAGTCTTTATCTTCTATATTTCAAATCTAAAAGAGCGAGTACATTGATTTACTTCTAAGCCTATTATTTGTCTATTTTTTATTCTGTGTATTTTATATTTGTCGTCCGGTGTAGCGGGTACTCTTAGGCGACAGTAGTCATTTACTATCAAGTGAGTTCATACTCGTTTGTCGTCTGTGTTATAAAAAAAAATAAAAAATTACACATACCAATGGCAAAGTGCTGAGTAAATGAATTGATGAAATCATTTTTTTCTTTGCCATTTGGGTATCATTATTTAATTTATTTAATAAGTCAAACGTTATCTATGCGTATATTTATAAATTAAAATATAAAATATCCTAAACAACATATACAACTTTAGTTTATCGAAGTGTGGTAATGTCAGAATTATCTGTCAATTTTCAAAAAGCATTGGATGTTTTTTAATGTTTCTAATTATTAAAAAGTACTTTGTTAGCTAAAACGATAATCACGCAATAATATTCTAAGGAATCCAATTAGTAGGTAGTTCTTGAATAGGAATATTATTTATTATTTAATACCTCTAATTGTTACGTATAACTAAATTTGCAATGCATTAGGTGCATCCTAATGTTTTTTTTTTTTTTTTACAACACAGGGGGCAAACGAGCATGCGGCTCACCTGATGGTAAGTGACTACCGCCGCCCATGGTCACCCACAACACCTACGGCATTGCAGGTGTGCTAAATTATAATATTTATTATTATAATTATAATATTAATGTAACTAAATTTATTTGTAACTAATATCAGACATAATGTATTTTAATTTAAACTAAATTAACATCTAATCCCATTGAAATAGCACAGTGGCTGTAACTTCGTATCTAGACAATTCGCGGTCCCCTTTTATTGCAGCGTAGTTTTGGCTCGTTTGGTGAACATCCAGTTGTGTGACAACAAACCCGGTTAATATCGTTAAATGGTACATTGTTGCATGTGCTTGCACCAAAAGTAGCCTCTGTAGTGCCCCAACGTCTGCTGTAGACCAGTTTGAATTTAGAATTGGCTCGAATACATTGTTATGTCGAATTTCAGAAATACAGGTAAGAATTGCAACGTTTGGGAGGTTGCTTCGTAGAAATTCGGAAACACGGGTATTAGAATCGTCGTGTTTGTAATAGGTCTGTTACTTAGTGATGTTTTACAATTTGTAATGTGTTTTCTATTGTAGTGTTACAACATTTTGTTGTACTTTTATTTATTTCAAATATAATCCTAAGATTTGGTTCTCATGCAAATGTCACTTAACTGTTTTATATTATCATCAATATATGTAGTTATAATAATCTTATCTGCATTTATATTATCATATACACAGAAATTTTAGGCTATGTAGTATAAATACCACCGATACATTCCGCGTTTATAATTTTTTTAATGGTACTAATAAACTGGTAAGTCTAACAGATTTAAACGACAGAAAATTTTTGCAAATTTGTATATACTTTTTATTATATAATAAAAAAAAAAATAAAGGAAATGTCTCTATAATAAAGAAAATGTAAACAAACGAATAAAAGACCCAACTATACAGTCTGTTGATGTTCAGTAGGAGAACAAATCGATTAATTGGTCGAATATTTTGGTTTGTTACTTATTTCATTTAGAAAACGTTTCTGTGATAATTAAAAAAGGATTATGTCTACACACTGTTTATAAAGGAATTGTTAAGTAATTTAGGCTCTATTGTTCTCTAAAAATTTGGATGTACCAGTATGTATCTCAGAAGACACTTTCGCACTGGCATAATTACACCCGAAAAATTACAATAAATTTTATATAAATCTGATAAAAAGATACTCCTGTAAAAAATATTTTTTTGAAAATTTATAGGGAGACTTATATAATGTTAAACTGTAATAATTAACATCCTTTGCAAATGATATCCTATGCAGTCGAATATTTATTTTAAACAAATGTGGGTTGAAATATGAAAAAAAAATTTGTAGAGCTTTTTTTACTAACGTGACAGCTGGACGAGCCGTGTTAGTGTGGAAAGTCACATTTTTTGTAGTTTGTAGTTTCATGTTTCTTTGGGATACATTTTCAGTTTCACTAGTAGAACTCAATTGTAAGATGATAATAATTAAATTTTGATTCACACTTTGTAAAAAATTATCGAATTAGCGTATTTAGAGTTACTAATTTTTTTTTTTTTATTTTATAGTCCTTACTAATCTATAAATCAATAATTAAATAACTGTTTAATATTAATATTTACTTTTGACACCCATAATTATAAACTCTATAAAATAAAAATAGAGTTACCAGGTTTCGTACCTAATGCACTAAATTTTCTTCCGAATATAAAAACTTTGAAGACACAACAATGCTTTTATTTTTAAATTGTAGCTAAAGTATATATATTTTAAGAGAAGTTGCCAGGTTTAAAAGAGCAATAGGTCTTCGGCGAAGACCAGAGGGAGACTTTGTACAAAAGTCGATTACTTGGGTACCTCTGTTCCATTCGTGTTTCAACCGTGAAGCAGTTGTGTTTGCATGGCTGTGTTTCGGTTTGAAGGGTGGGATATGGCGTGAATTTACTGGGTACAGAGGAATAACACCTGAGTCCTCAGGAATGGCAACGCATGGGGGGTATCATGGGCGAAACAGTATACTCTGTTATGTCCATGGTACTGCTCATGTCTATAGGCGACGGTTACCACTTTCCATCAGGTGGGCCGTCAGCTTGTTTGCCATTCTAAGTTCTATAAAAAAAAAAAAAAAAAAAAAAAAAAAAAAAAAAAAAAAAAACTAACATTAATGAAATAAGAAATCCACTTAAAGTTATTAAAACACAATAGTTTGTCGCCGCTGTGTTATAACCTAATTGAAAACCGATTTTATTGATATTATACGTACTCTATTTACCTAATATACTATCAAATAGTAGACATTTAACCACCTTCAGAAGGGGGAAGGGGTTATTAGTAATGGAGACTAAAAATTCCATTGCTAGCAATATACCCAACCAGGTCGACCTCCTCGTGGTTCCCCCTGGAACTATCATGGTTAATTCCTGATGAATTCATCATGATGGGCTAACTGGCCTGTTTTCATTCTCGTCGATCACCCTTCACTGGTGCTCCGCCATCGTATCCCGTTAGCGCAGGCGGGGTTTTCCATTAGGGTTTACCATTCCATTTTCATCTATAAAAAAAAACCACCTTCAGAAAGGACTTTTATTCGATTGTATTTTTTGTGTGTATGTACTCGTATACAATAAAAAAATACCTATAAGTTACACAATATTCGTCAATACACATGTATAAAATTTTTGTTTCAGTACGGAATGGCTACTCATGTGTGCCTGTAGCCCTCTCGGAGGGTCTGGATATTAGATTGGGAACAGCTGTCACGGATATACAGTACGGTGGGCCGGGAGTTACAGTTAAAGCTGTCAATCCTCGAGCACCAAATCAGCCTCAGACTTTCAAAGGTTAGTATTCATTAATTGAATCGGTAAACATACTTTTAAAGAATATCTATAGCTTGAAAAATTATTAAAATGTAGAGTCTCCCATATTGACTTGATAGCTGATCATGCCGTGTTGTGCATCAGTCTCGAAATTTGTTGACATTTTTCGATCCTTGTTTGTTTCGTATTTGTAATATACGAATATTGTTAATAGTAAAGTCGTTTTTCTTTTTTACTTTCTTTTTTGGGAAAAATATCTTACGGAGTAATTTTTCGTTTTTACCACATCGCAGATTGCGCGATGGGATTTATTCATTCAAAACTTCCAGGACTACTGTTTTGTGTAGTTATATATATTGTGTAGCTTTTACCCGCGACAGACGCGGTTAAAAAACACTGCCGGTGGTTTAACACGTTTTGATAAAAAGAGCTTGTTATCGATTTTAGCCGTAGGCATATACCCATATTGTTACAGCACTCGAATTTCCTGTCCCAAATAGAAAAATCAAATTCATGTAGCCGTAATATTAAAGAAGTGTCGTTTGGAAAAAAAACAAAGCATGATAATGGGCGTTATGAGAAAAATCCACAACGCCGTCGGCGGCTCCTTGTCATTTCTTTGTCACGGAATGATTTGCAATTCTAACGCGTTAATTTCGCTTTGATGAGGTTGAGGCGCAAAAATACGGTCGAGCCGCGTTGACCCGTTGCCCTCCCCTCCTCTCCCGCTACTGTCCCCTTTGTTCCTCGCCTTAGGCCCTTCCGTCACATTTACATACAGGCGGAGTCTATTGTGGAAGAGGCAGTTAGATGTTTGAGAGGCGGTGCCATTGTCTGGCTAGTTTTTGGTTCCGCTATGGAGCTAGTAATTAGATATCAAATATTTTAAAATGTTATTTTACCAATAAATTATAACGGTACAATGTAGGTATATTTTAATTTACTAACTGAAAACTCAAATTAACTGTATTTCTCTTTATAATACTAGTATTAATATTTTAGAATATATCAAACTTTTTTTTTGTTATATTTTTATGTGAACATCAAAAACTACCTGGCACTTAAATGGTCTTATCAACTATTTCCTAGGTATTTTTCTACACCATCTATCTCTCAACCGGATTTGTCGGTAAATAAACATAAATATATACTCGACCCTATTTTGTACCTACTATTCTACTTTTCGAAAATCACATGTCTGTAATCAAGGCAAAGAGCTCTTTAGCATGTAAAAGGTCAGGTAGAGGATGCTTTGTCCGGTCAAACTTTTGCTTTCACACTGATTGCTTTGCCGGCCGCTTCATTTGGCTATCTCCCTACATTCGGAGCTGTGGAAGATTTGAATTCGATTCCCCATTTAGCGCAATGAATTGGGTTGCTACCCAAATAGTTAAAGGTCGCGTAATTAATTTCCTAGAGGTAACGAATGGGACTACTTTTGTTGATAACAGTTCCATAGAGTTTACTTCTGGTTTCTTGAGTAAGTTTATATGTATGAGTATGTACTTTAACTTTCACATGCTGTTGCTAGCTAACAGAGCATGGCATTAAATTGTAAATTTACCACAGGAAGACTTTGTACAAAATTGTCTGCATGTCAACCAATATGCTACTCGTATTTCTGCCACTAAGCAGCTGTTCATGTCTGTAGACAATGCTTGGTTATTTTTTTACAATTAATGGGCCTTAAATTTGTTAGCCATTCCAAGTTATTATTAAAAAGTTATTATTCCAAGGTATTAAAAAGTATAAAATAGTACTTTAATTATTTATGTAGCTACGTATTATATGAAAAAAATATCGAATTTATTAGGAAATAGAGATGACAAGGAAACTGCGAGATATTTACTGACTAGGAAAAGGAGGAGATTATTAATTAAAGTGTATTTTTTTTATAAATGTGAACTAAGTTTTTGTTTTATTTGGAAGGAATTTTTAAAAATCTTAAGTATGTGTTTTAATACTTTACCTTATTTACAGGTGACGTAGTTTTGTGCACTCTACCTTTAGGCGTGCTGAAGGTGGCAGTAGCGAATAATGGTCAGAACCAGCAAAACTTTGTCAAGTTTGATCCACCGTTGCCTGATTGGAAAGTAAGTTTACAGTATTTGAATTATTTCTTATTGTTTTTATGTAATAAAATTAAATATGTATTTAATAGATAATGTATTTATGACATCAATAATTTGGTTATATTATTTCTATAATGTACCTATTTCACTTGTCAAATTAGGTGGCGGCTATCAAACGTTTGGGGTACGGAAATTTAAATAAAGTGGTTCTATGCTTCGAGCGCACATTCTGGGATCCTAGCGCTAATCTCTTCGGGCATGTCGGTACTACTACAGCTAGTAGAGGTAAGATGTTTGGTTATTCTAATATATTTACTATACTTTGAAAACAAAATCGAATTAAAATTTATCATTTGAATAATTTTATTCAGTAAGCTAAAGTTTACGATATATTTTTATCATCACTATAACTTCAGCCGTTAATTGTCTACTACTTAACATAGACCTCTTCCATAGATTACCATAAGAAACGGCCCTGAGCTATCTACTTCTACTTACGCTCTGCAGCATGTTACCATTTCACCTAGTAGTTATGATACGTAACAAAAAAATATCTATCTAGGCAATAACGAAAAGCTAAGGCCTTGCTACATTAACGAAACCTCTAATTATATTTTTTACATTCATAGTTAAGATAATTCGACTGATTCCTTGAATACAAAAACTAAAATTTTGCGTTAGTTTTGATATTCTGTTTAGTTCTGAATATCTGAAGCAACCAAAAGAATTACCTGTATTTGAAGCGATTGTGTTAAGATTATATAATCCGTATATGAAGTATTAACGTGATCGCTTCCAGTTCAGGAACCTAACGTTAGATAATATCTGACTAGAGTAGTGCTGAGTGAGCTGCTCGGTATTAATATAGCACTACGACTAAATCCCCGCAAATTAACCGAACCTCCCTAAAGACCCGCGCCGTAAATTATTTCCCGGTGTAAATAGTGTAAAACGCAGAACACCGGTGGCCGCGATAACGAATTAAAAGCTGAATAATTTAACGCTACTCAGGAACCCTGAGGGGGAGCTGGTTGCAATAAATCACAGCAACGAGCCAAGACAAGCTTTTTTTTCACGTTATGCTTTAGTTCACCTCCTTAGTCTTTGTTGTGTGTTCTGCTAACTTCATTAAGGCCCCCACGTTTGTTCTGGGAAAGCCGGAACAATGTACGCTAGCTTTGTGATTTTTTAATCGTGGCCAATTTAACGTTTTCGGGCTTGTTCGTGTTTAAAATGTGCTATCTGATGTGGTGCTATCGCTCGATGTCGCTCCAAGAGTTATGTGAGAACGCGCGCTCCGTACTTTATATCAGCTAATAATCAATGGCTTTATTTCCATAATATATTGTTTTTTTTTTTATATATATGGTAATATTTGTTTCTGTACATTAAAATATTGCGTTGTTAATTTATTAGTTACTCTTTGATTGTAAAAGATGATAGTAATATTCATCATATTTATATTTTGGTTATTTTTTAAGCAAAATAAGAAGTTTTGTAGTTCCTAAAGCACAATGTGAACTGGTTCACTTTAACCTCAATTCAAACAAGCTCAGACTAGTAACTAGTCAGCTTGTGACCTAAAATTTGCACAAGCTGTTATTATTACTGTATTACTCACTTAACAACTATTATAACTAACAATTATTTCATAATATTATTCTGTATTTCAGGATTTATTACTATGGATTTTCATTAATTTATACCATGCAAATTGTATTCGAAGTGATTATTATATATAATAGGTATATATGAGATTTATAAATTACTTTTTCAATGTATATTTATTTCGTACTCTGTTATATTTATGTTATGGTGGATATTATTATATATGGCGAAAATGTTTCTTCAATAAAAGCTGTACATTGTATTTCGATGCTGCAGTATAGGAACATATTGATGTCTTGCAGTACAAGACATAAATATTTTAGGACCGTGTTTTGGAGAAAACGATTTCAATCTTAATAAAGCCATTTTTGGACAAAGATGCAAGATACAAGATCAGATTTTAATAAAATTTTATCAAAACAGATTCAGATCTTATTTATATACTAAAAGATGTAACAAAATAAAAAAAAAAATACACCTGAAATCATTATATCTTAAATTGTTAATTTTATACTACGTGTATGAATGTTATGGTATTCCAGTTTTTATTATTTTTTGATATTAAAAGAATTGTATGCTATGTTTTAGAAATCTATTTTAACTTTAACAAAACATTCAATATGATTATATCATAATTAAAGATTGTGTCCCATAAAAAACAATGCCAAAAAAATTTTTGTCACAAAGTGATTTATTTTTTATTTTTATAAGATCAATCTGTAAACATATTCTTTCAAATGAAAAAAGAGCTTTCCAAATTGGTTTAAAGCTGATGAGATAACAAATATAATAAATACAACTGGATTGAGAACCTCCTTTTTGAAGCCGGTTGCAAACATATTCAGATCTTATTTATTCACTAAGAGATGATACTAAATTAATAAAAAAAACATAAATTGGCTATGTACACATATGGATGATAAAAGAACTAAGTGTTATGCTTTAATACAGGTGAGCTGTTCCTCTTCTGGACCATGTATAGTGCGCCTGTACTTTTAACACTGGTGGCTGGCGAGGCAGCAGCCGTAATGGAGAACGTCACTGATGACGTAATCGTCGGTAGATGTATCGCTGTGCTCAAGAGCATCTTCGGCCACGCCGCTGTCCCTCAACCCAAAGAGTGTGTGGTAACTAGGTGAGAGAGAACAAAACGAGTATTACGTTATTACGGGAGTTATTCCGTATTTTCAAATTTCCCATAGCTGTAGATGTATTCTGATCTCGAAGAATCACGAAGAATGCAAAAATATCCTAACTTACCACGTGAACTAAGTGAATGTTGGTCAATTAATTGCTGAACATACGTCTCCTCCATAAGGAGAGTTTTGTCAGTAGTTGCCACACTTGGCATGCGAGTTGGCATCCGCAATTAGGCTTCGGTAATGTTTTAAGAGAGATGCTGTTGTCAATCCTCGACCATTAAGTTTCTTTAGTCGCCTCTTACGATACCCATGGGAAAGGAGGTAGCCCGTTGTATGCCAGAACCACAAGGTAAAAATACTTTAGTTTTTCGGAATAGTAGCGCAAAAAATGTATATGACGTCCATGATGCTGTTGTTGTTTATACGCTACCACATTCCGTTAGATGGGCCGTCAACTTGTTTATTATTCCAAATTGCATAAAAAATTATCTATGTTTAGCTAGGTTCCCTACGAGATAGAGAATCTGAGTTCTAAAGGCCTTTATCCTTGCACAAATCTTTTACTACATCCATTTCCATAACTTATTCTTGTAACACATATCCATATGTATACATCCACGTTCATCCAACGGACCATTATAATGTCTTGGAAGCTATTTCTTACTGCACGTATATTTGTTTTACAACTGTGGAACAATACTTACTGATTGTTCTTATGCAGATGGCGTGCAGACCCTTTTGCTCGCGGTTCATATAGTTTTGTCGCCGTGGGATCATCTGGAACGGACTACGATCTATTGGCTGCCCCGATTCCTGGTGCCCCTGGGGAGAATAGGCTTTTCTTTGCTGGTATGGTTTATCTTTTGTATAAATTGACTGCATTATTTACTAGCCATTTTATTCTCCATCTAATATTACATGTATGCCAAATTTCATAATGATTAGTAGAGCCGCCAAGAGGTAACAAACAAGCTCACTTTCATATTTAAAAACTAACTAAAAATTGGCATATTCATCATTGATTACACACTGTGTTTAATTTTTACTACCTATTTTTTTTCTATAAATTGTTATCCAAGTGGTACCTTACTGGACATACTTAGATAAAATTTTAACTATAGTTAATATTAAATAAATACACCGAGTATGTGACTATCATCATCTTCATATTAGCCGTTAATTGACCATTGCTAAATGTAAGTTTCTCGCTTGAGAAGGCATTGTTTGTAATGAAAGTCATTGATTACAAGATTTTTAATTAAGTTAAAAAGCAAGCCATTTTGAAAAAAGTGGGCTGTTTTTGTCGAAGCATGTTTAGAGAGACCATCTAGATGTCATGGATGATCTAAACTTATTATGATTAGATCCCGGGATGTGAATGAATTTCTACCTATCTAAGATTTTTTGGACTGTTGTTATGAATATTTTTTCAGGTGAACACACAATGCGAAACTATCCAGCTACTGTCCACGGGGCATTTCTCTCCGGTTTGAGAGAAGCGGGACGTCTTGCAGATCTACTGTTGCCTCAACCACTGATAACAAATGCCAGTGTCGCAGCGGCAATGGCTGCAGCAAACCACTCTTAAAATTCCTTAAACATTATAGCATGATGTCATTCACTAAAACTATAAAAATTATTAATTCTATTTATGTCGAATACAGCCATATTACCTGAGATATCCATTAGCGACAGTTGTTGTCTGCATAATTACTTTGCGGATAAAAAAAAAATGTTCAAGAGATGATTATAAAATTCCCTTCAAAAATCAGTTAACTGTCACTCACACCGTATTTTAACGGGCGGCATACCTAAGTATAAATGATTATGTTTTGTAAGAAAATTATAAATTCCATGTAACGAAACTCTCAAATGTGAAATTGTGTTACACGATTTCAAATGACAAAATTTTCTTATATATCAATTGTATAATTATTGAGACAAATCACATATTTTAAATGAATAAGCTTGAATAGTCGTTCAAGCGTGTAAAATTTGCTAAATTTTTTCAGACATTTATAAACATTAACAAGGCAGTTTCCTTATATAAAATGTTTTCTGTATTTTAATGCATTAAAAGTTCGCTATTTGGATGATGGATTCATGAACGGTATAAGGGGTGCCAAAAATTAAGTGTATTCATTTTGTCTATTGTTATGCTTGATTTATAGTGATAGATTTGCAATGTCACTTTGAGGAATTATATGAGATGGATATGATATATATTTAATATAATTGTATTTACTGAATTTACTGAATGAATTAGTCCATTTAAAATTAGTTAAAATAAAAATTGCCTTTATCAAAAAGATTGATAAATGTTGAGAAAGTCAAAGATGTTTGTTCTATTATTACCATTTACTCCGATGAAATAAACGCTATTATTGGTACTTATACGTTAGGGCTTTTATAATTTATTGAAGAACTGCATAGTTTCACGATTTGACCGTCACGATATAATAAGAGTGCAAAATATATGTAACCGTATAGAATCGTTTTTAATTTTCCGCGACAATATCGTAAATGTGTACGGTAATAAGCGTCTGTGTAGTCGTGATTGAATAAGTATATTTTGCTATTATATATATTGTGACGTGATAAAATTGTACGATATCGTATCGTGCTAGTAAATTATAAAAGCGCCCATTAAAAAAAGATTGAAATATATATTTCAAAATTTTATTCCAGTAACCAATTACTGTTATAGTGGTACCAGACATCAGAATAGAATCTAAAACACCACATGTGAGTGGTTTCTTTGTAATTAATATATTAGTATGTAATTGGACGTACTTCTAGCAATAAAATTAAGGTCTGGAATTTCAAGTAATTACAGACTTAAATGTATTTTTAGGAGTTATTCAAATAAAAGGGTAAGAAGTAAGATAATAAGTGCTTTGTATTACCCTTTCCACACTATGCTGCTTAAGAAATAAGTGTTACGAAATGTATATTTGCTTTTAAATGCGATAGTTAATATGTGACTAGTTCGTGAATTATATTAAAGTCACGAACACTCGTAAACATATGTTTGAAAATAAAATACTTTTACTTTGTAATTTAGATATTATAAGTTAATGGACTACAAAAAGTATCTAATATAACCTAGGAATATAACCCATAGAAAAACTACAAAGAGACTGCCCTTAGCATTTGAGAATATTTTAACTGGTACTGTTTAAGTAATATATGTCCAGTCACAAGATAATAGCAATTTACATGTATACTAATATTATAAAGAGGTAAAATTGTGAGTTTGGATGATTGGGGTAATCTCCGATACTACAGATCCGATTTTGAAAATTCTTTCACTGTATATTATCCCTGAATAGTGTAGGCTACTTTTTATTTTGGTAAGTATATATTTTTAGTAATTAATCACAATAAACGTAATCGAAGTCAGCAAAAATTCTATAATATAGCGCGCACTGCCTAAACTGGGTTTGAAATAAGGAATAAATTTTTGCTCTACAAAGATGTCCATTACTTTTAATTTTACAAAAAAGTTCATAATGCCATATATCTAAGTTTAGTATCTCAGCGAAAAAGATGGTTTTTTTTTATGTTAAAAGTAAAATAAATTTTATAAGTCGTTTATTTGAAAATCTTAGAGAATATTAGTGCAGTACTTTCACACACGCCAAAATAACAGCCTTACTAAAATGTGTTAAACAGTTTAAATGTTACATAAACAAATATTAATATTGCACTCGTGCGAAGCCGGAGTGAGTTGCTAGTAGCAACAAAATTTTTAGCCCTAATTTGTTGTTTCTTATAAAGTCCACAATAAAAAAAAAAGATCAATATAAATTGCGGAAAACGCTACAAAGTTCCATTACAAAGGTGCATTTGATAACCCGTAAATTCCATATTTATCAAATTTTATTATTCTATCAGTAATTTCTCCTTATAATATAATACAGAAAATGTTAAATATCATTGCATACATATTGTCTAAAGGAGAGAGATTAATACTTAAAAGGGCTATATAAGTATTATCGAGCGAGTATTATCGATTAAGTATCTATCTATCTATCTACTTTCCAAAAGGTGGATCATCACCATACATTTCCATCATCACTTCTGCAGTAACATTGTCTCCCCGAATACAAGTAATAAGGAATTAAAAAAAATATATATGTTTAGTATAAAATAAATCGGCATAGATATGCTCTAGAATAAGAACTAATTGATTTTGACTCCATTGTTTTATTTTTATAACCAATACTGTGTGGAAAATAAAGTGAATTTGAAAAAGTATGTCATCGTTTCATTGTTCACATTTAATTATTTTAGTCCTACACGATATGGAGTAGCTTCAAAAGTATCCATCTAATTATGGCTTAGGATAAAATAAAAAAGAATATAAAGAACTACCTCTTATTAATCAATCAACCTTTCAAATAAATACAAGAGTAGTATTTCATTAACTATCCAAGAAACGTATAGACGAAAGGTGTTCGAAGATCCGTGTTTGAATTAATTGGACAAATTGATACTTTAAAACAAACACCTGCCTGGGTAAACATCAAATATTTTATACGAAGGCGGCGAAGAAAAAACAATATTCTTACAATATCTATTGGGATATATCTATCTCATCCACTCGTATCCGAGGAAAGGAGAGGGTTGTTAACAACTGCGAAGACTTAATTGCTATTGCGATATTATATTATCGCCTTTTGAAATTTTTTCAATGTGTTAACAATATCGTGTAATTTGGACGAATTATTTCTCTTGTTTTAATTATACTTCATATCCATACATATCTGTATACGTCTATTAACATATAGAAATTTTATTTTCCTATTCTATAATGCTAGTTAATTTTACTATATTAGTGCTAACCCAATTGTTTATTGCATTATATCTAATCCCATATTATACTAATTTTTGTTTATCTATGAGACCTCGATATACAATAATTCACTGGGTTAAAATGTAGTAAGTGTTCTTCTCTATACCAAATACCCATTGTGTGGGGGGAAAGGGATTGTTAGTAATGGAGACGGGGCTACCATACCATTTTCACCTAGCAATATCCATTGTGTATATGCCAATTACCAATAAATAAGATACATGTTATTGAGATGATTGGTTGAGTAGTTAAATCAAAAGGTATCAAACATGTTTTCACATTTATATTAGTTTCCGACTAGAAATGATAACTTCATAAAAAATATAAGGAAAATTATCTTATAAATATAAAATTTTATAAAGAAAAGTAGAAGTTAGAGTAACGTAGGTATTTCTGATTTCCCCATTTCCTATTTCCTCATTTCTATTTTTCTTTATTATTATATACCTAATTAACTATTAGGCACACGAGTCAAAAGAAAAACTAGGTTTTATGTGTTTCATAAAAATGGAAGTTATGATATGTATGTAAAACCTTTTCGCGAAATTATAATAGACAGAAAGAAATATTTATGAACTTGGATTTAAGCATTTTTAAATAGTATTTTTTTAATATGAAATGGAAACGATCAAAGTACATATCAATAAAAATTTTCATTCCATAATTATAATCATCGTCATCATTTATTTAACTGTTGTGTGATGCAGATGGGTTCTTACATAAGTATACGAGTATTTTAATAACCTGTATATTGTAACATTTTACTTTATAATCAGTACCTATTATATTATTTATTTAGTTAAACAACATACAAAATAATTTATAATTTTGTATTAATAATATAATTAACAGATTATATATTTATGTGACTGTTATTATGGTTATTGTAATTTCAATGCTGAGTTTGTTACTATTATGGTGTTGCAATAAAGTTATTATTATTATTAAATAATAGTATAATGTTCTATGTACAACAAAAACAGCATTATGTTTAATTCCTGAAATCGGTTAAAATACTGTGCCATTGACAGTTTGAAATAAACAGAATTCCGTAAATTAATAATCATTTCAGAAGTCCATTATCAGATTTACTGATATGGTAAATTAAAATTATGTTCACACAAAATGTATTATATTTGTACTATTTACAAAATTTATATACATAATTATTTTAAAAGAAATTATTTATATATTTCTATTAATTATTTATATTTGTTTATTTATAACATTATATAATTATTGTCAAAATTATAAATAATTTAGAAGACAGGTAGACATAGTACATAGTACATAGTAGTTACAGGACAGAAGTAGTGAAAGAAAGACAATGGAACTGTCTTTTTTTCACTATTTATTTTTTAATCATATACAATTTATGTATGACACTTCGTTTGCTATTTTTACAGTAATGTTATGGGATTACATCGCTAATTCTGCATATTGCCGGCTCCGGTTGCTTTTTGTAGTCTAGGCGACATTATATATGACAGATTGCAACCTAAGTCGGGCCAGTATCTTAACGATTTGATTTGATGATTGACCTTGTGTGGATCCTTTACTATCCATGCTGCTAGATTATGGAGTTTTTTTTCCATGTCTATCGAAATTTTAAATCGATTTTTACAGCTCTCAATTGTGATCAATATGTATGACGAAATATCTCTTTTATAATTCGTAAACATCAATCATAAATGCAACGCACCAATGTCTGTAGTGTTTACGATTGATCTCGCTTTTTTTTTTTCAAAAAAAAAATGTACTTATTATTGGGATAACGTAGAGTACTGTGTACAATCATGGACTCGTATCTATCATATGGTATATATCATATAACAATTGTGGTAGTAGTATTCGCCAAATAAATTGAAAACGGAATATCTAACATTCATAAATATTTATTTTCGGAGTTTCCCTTTCAAAAGTTAGAAATTAGATTATTCAAGAGACAGTGTAATACTGACTTTGAAATAATTTGATACTTAATTTGGTTCTCTTGGAGAGAGGAAAAGAGCGCAATTGCCAATTTAATTATATGAACTCAGTTAGATTTCTGAAAAGCTGATCAAACTGAAGTTCGACAAAGGAAATTATCCAATCAAACGTCTGAATAATTCTGATCAGAGACGCAATCATTTATTAAATTGGGCCCAGTTGTCATTTAGAATTGCAATATTATAAATTACCTACATATTATTAATTGACAAAAGGCGATATCTTCAAATTAGCAGCGGTTATACTCGTATTGCCTCAAATTCTGGTGGTTGCGTCTTAAAATGTCTATTTTCAGAACATTTTCTATATATTATATGCAAGTTTATTTATTTACTTTATTATTAATTACACAACAAAGTTTGTACAAGTGGCGAGCTTAATGCCATATGGCATTCTCTACTAGCTAACCATTAGGTAAGAACACATAGCGTATGACGGGCAGTGGTGGTGAAAAATATGTGATATAATTTTTGTAACATACTGAAATAAATAAATATAATATATAAGAAATACACCTGTAACCACAGAGACATTACTTTTAATATATATATATATATATATATATATATATATATATATATATATATATATATATATATATATATATATATATATATATCAGACGGGCTATATGCCTGTTAGTCACCAAAATAGTATAAAAAAGGTGACAAACTTTTGTTGAAATTATCACAGAAAAATTCTTTAAATAAAATAGTAGGTAACAAATCGAATTATGCAAGTATGCCGTATAGTTTCGGCATAAATTTGGCCACTACTTCCTTTCCCGTAGGAGTCGTAAGAAATAACTAAGGGCACTTAAATGGTCGAAGAATGGGCAGCACCGTCTCTCTTAAAACATCACCAAAGTCTAACGGTTGGCAACCCGCCTACCAAGCATGGCTACTACAGGCAAAATCCCCCAAATAGGAGAAGGTCTGTGTTCAACAATAGACAGTTAAAGTGAAAAAAAAATAAACATATAAATAAATATTAATAAAAAATCGTAATAATCAATTATTAGATTTTTTATTGCTAAGTTCTAGTGAAACAGATTATAAAGTTGCTAAACCTTTGTATAGTATTTGGAATAAATAACAACACAAACAACTTTTGATTCCATATTTTTAGCATAAACGTAATGAACAGAGTCAACTTCATCTTCGTGCTGAATTATTCAATTGGGCGATTCCAACTTCTTTTATTTGCGAACTTTGCCCAACTTCACATTCGTACTTTTTCCATGCCATATATATTTTCTAATAAAACTTATTGCGTGTTACTAACTGGTATAATCGCGTGTCCAGACACAAAACCATTAAATCCAGGAGCGTCAATATACGATTACACTAAAATAACATAGCAATATTTATTTATAGCTAGTTTTTAATTTGAGTTTGTTTACGCGCTAGGCGGGGCGGGTGACGGATTTATGTTGTATTTTAATTGCATTTTTAATTATTTTTCAACAACTACGCTGCCGGCAAATTGAATACATTTCACGGGAACTATTACGATCTTATCTCCGGACCTAGTTACAAAATAAAAAAGTTAACTATTGTTCAAAATATTATATCGCATGTACGAAACGATGTTACTAATTTACGAGGTCATTATGTTTATCTTTTTGAATCGCGGTAAAATATTTCTAAACGATGCTAACTAGTTCTAATAAATTATCAACAGTTTTCCTCTGTGTATTAAAATGGTAATACCCAAATATAAATGATATATTTTGACTATATTAAAGCTTAATTGAATACATAACTATTTACATAATAAAATAACGAATACTTTATAGGTGTAATAATAATATTATTACTTACACAGGGGCTTCTAAATTTTAAACTAACAGTTATCTGTAATTTTCCACGCGTACACATAGATATTTTTATTATACCACGTTTATTATTTTCATGCCAAACTATGTTTATGACAAATAGATCGTGTCGATTGGTTTAGCGGTTATAAAGTGTCAAGACGTTAAAAAAACAAAATTAAATCACTTTTATATATAATATTATATATGTATATAATACTAGTTTTATTGAATAAGAGTTAAGTGTTTTATGTGTTTATCTAGTTATCTAGTACCTATTTAGATATTCAAAATATACTTTTTTCAATATCTGGAAACATGTTGAGGACATAAGATTCAAACCAATAAATACTTTTTAAATTCTATCATTATGTGTAATTACAGAAAGGGAATATTATATTATTTTTCATAATAATATCACATTTAAGTGTGATGGAATCTATCTCAATGAACTATTTACATACATCTATTTTTTCCTTCCTTTCCTGTGGATGTCGTAAGAGACGAAAAAAGAAGCAGCAGCTCTTACAACATCACTAAAGCCAAACTGCTGTTGCCAACCCGCTTTCCAATTGTGGCAACTATGGATAAAAC